TGTGTGTGTGTCCATGTGTCTGTAGGTGTGTGTGTGCAGGGCATGAATAAGCCAGCCTCATTGTTATCTGTCTAACTATCAAGATTTTCCCTCCTCCATCATGACATCATTGACAACTTCACACAAAAAAAAAGAAAAATACATGTGTGCACAGACATATTCGCACATCATGCATGCATGCACACACACACGCACATGTGCCATCTCCGTCCATGGCCTCGTTTCCTGCTCTGTTCTACTTGGGAGTAGAAAGCAACACCTGAAACCTACTTGTGCAATAATGTTAATGGTCGGTACCCGACAACGATAATTAGGACTCGCTATGAAGAAAAACCAAAGAGCCACAATAAATTACACACAACTATCCCACGGTCAAAAGTCTCACTGGTTTTGATACATCTCCATGGCTTCTCCATTTTGCTGACCCACTGGTTCCAAAATGTCAGCTACTACAAACTGGAGCACTGCCTTGTAAGCTGCTTCAAACAAGCACTGGGTCTCCTTCCCTAGCCTGATTTTGGACACCCCCTGCTGACACTACAGCAAAATACAAGACACCCACAGTGCCTTGCTTTTGAAGAGGACTCCACTAAAAAAATACTTTTGTTTTGATAGAGATTTTTTGTTTTAATTGGGAGAGAAGATATTTCCTCTTCCTTCTTCTAAGTAACATTCACATTTTATATACCTGCCACTCCGGCCACGTTAACATTTATGCAAGCCTCTATACCAACAATAACTTCACTCTTACCATATAAAATTTCATACTACATGAAAAAATTTTACAATTATGTCTTCATTTATATCCCAGCATGTTGCTTAGGGTTGAATACTCTCCTCCTAAGGCCTGCTATTGTCTGTGAAGCCACATGTACCCCCTAGTCTCTGGTTAGCCTGCACTCATCTGCAGCCCTATCATCTGCATCAGTTGGCAGATACAAAGAGCATAGCGCTGATTTGCGTGTGAGCATGTGCACCTTTTATGTGTAGCACTGCTGCACTTGCTTGCGTGTGCAAGTCTGTGTGTGTGCATGTGTGTGTGTGTGTGTGTGTGTGCACGGTGTGCATTTATGTACACTGTCTTTTTATATGATAAAGTGGGAGTGTTGGCGGCATCTGATGGTTCCCAGACTTTGGCTCCGTTTTATCTGATGCTGCGATGGCAGCTGTTGACCAAAGGAATTCATACATGTGTGTATAATTTGTCTTATGGCTCAAAACAAACACGGGACTTGGGACATCTTTTACCCATTCAATTTGACATGACACAAACAGAAGGTCACTGTGTGCGCTTGGTTTCTGAGCTGCTTGATTATAATTTTAGGTGTGCCTATAAATAGAATGGACCACAGATCTAAGCACATTACGGAGTATTTTCTCAGAGTTGTATATATATATATATATATATATATATATAACAAACCATCAACATACTTGAACAAATGTTTGGCTGGAGCATGTTGCAGCACAGCTTTGAACTCACCATTTTATTTGTTTCCTCTTAATGATGATAATAATCTTAGGGCTGGCAGCGGCGAATGAGCCTCCCCTGAATCACAAAGAAAAAAAATGACATGAATTAATAATGAGCAAAATTACTCAAACTCTGCACACCACGACCTGCCGCAGCACGGTGAGCGGCGGGCCCTAAGGTGACAAAGCTGGATAAATATTTTATGTCTAAATATGATTTTGGGGTCCTGAGCCTGCTGTCTGACAATCCTGCCCAGATCTTTGCAGCACATGGCCAAACCATTAAGCTAAAAAGAGACTTGGAATCCTTCTGCAGCTCTTGTCTGGACAGAAGCAAAACTCAGGGATCAGGTTTATGTGTAGCAGCCAGCTTCTGAGGCTTGTGTCTTGCCAGTGAAGTGGGTAGACGGTGTTCTTTGGGTGCCCTCAGGTGGAAGCCTGGTATAATTGCTGTTGACAACCTACAAGTCATTGTGCAATTAAAGCATCTGCCGCTCCTGTGTGGCAGCGGGCTGTGATGCCTTGTGACAGCTCGTAGCCATTAAGCAACTGTAAGCAGCTGGCGTGCCTCGGTGGGGGAAAATAATGTGACAGAGGCACTCCCCCCTATTGTTGCCCTTGTCTCATTGGGGAAAAGAGGGACATTACATCACTCACCGAATACTCGGGCGTCTCAATGAATGGGAAAGGGGCACGTCTACAAATTAGAACTGGCACAGCTGGATGTCCAAATAAGACTTTGTTTCTGAATAGAACGACTGAATAAGAGTGTATTGTTTTAAAAAGATACGGGGACGCCTAGTGAAGAAGCAACTAGCATGCAGAGTGAGATTGGTATGAATGTAAATTAGATCTTTAACAATTAACTAACTGATTAGTCAGTTGACAGAAAATTTATTGACAACACTTTTGATAATCAATTAATCATTATTCAAGTAACTCTTCGAGTAAAAATGTAGTGGTTCCAGCTTTTTAAATGTGAAGATTTATGGCGTTCCTTTGTTTTCTAAGATTGTAAATAATAATAACAATAATAATAATAATAATAATAATAATAATAATAATAGGACTTAGTCTCAATGAAACAAGCAGACCAACATTCGACAATGGACTTGAAGGTCCTTGGAATTCAATTAGATCATTGCTGAGGACGCCACATCTCATTTAGTCACACATGCTAGAGGGGTTTTTATTCATTCAGTCTTGCTCATTTTAGACTAGCTTAAATTTAAAGCGGAGATGTAACAACACAGAAATTATGTTTATGATATGTATTTATGTTTTTACAGCTGTTTGTCAGTTGGTAATGACTTGAAATGCTTGCAGTACCTAGGTTTGCTCTGCACACACTGCCCTAGGTTGTTTTAGGGATGATGGTGCTGGACTATGGACCTCAGGCCAGTGATCTTATCCTTGAACATACATACATTTTTCACTATTTTCTGTTATTTTGGAGACCAAATGATTGATTGATTGATTGATTGAGAGATGAATCTGCCCAAATAATCGATGGATATAATTGTTGGTTGCCTTACTGGGTGTGACAACACACATTACTGTTAGTGCCTCATGAATAAGGCTTAATAATGAAGTGACCACACTGCTCAACCATAACAAGAGGGAGAAAATCTTGAGCTGCAAGTGTGAAAAGTAAAAAAAAAACAAAAAAAAAACAAAAAAAACAAACAAATTTACAATTCTTTTGATTGTGAAAATGAAGTCTAGATCAAAGCAGAGAGCACACTGGCCCATTCTCCACATCTGCGGGAGTGACATAAGTCTTTCTTTAATTACCACATATCTGACTCATTTGTGTTTCTCATGTAAATGTGGTCTTTTGATGTACATTTAACTCTAACTGAGTTTGTAGAGGGATTTATGTGCATATGATTTGCACGCCTTTCGGTCAGATCTAATTATTTATTTAATTATCTCTTTTTCATGTCTTTCAAATTCCAAAATGCCCAAAGAAAACTACTTTCTTTCTAATACGACACAAACAGTTACTATACAAGTATGTGAATCTGTGTGGACAATCCTGACAATATCAAGTTCAAAGATGATGGTAATCAACTAGTCAGATTCATGTGGGCAGGCCATGAAAGGCCCTGCAACTGTGTGTGTGTCTGTGTGTGTGTATGTGCCTGTGTGTGCGTATCTCTGTATGTGTGAGCATGTGTGTGTGCACGCACCTCATGTCTGACTCAAGGATTTGCTGTTTCAGCAGGGAAGGAATCAGTCCTGTGCCTTTGCCATGCAGGAAAGTCAGCGTAAGGAAATTCCTGAGCTTCACAGTGGCAATCAGGCAGTTAAGGACCTGCCACTGAAAATGGAGCTGTATGTCAGTCACTTTCATGGCTTATTCACACCAGCACAACTGCTCTGGCATAAAAAGAGGCATTCTCATTCAGTCACCCCAACAACCCAGTAAATTGCCCTTACTTGAAAGATGGTAGACCATGTATATTTTAGTGTCCTACAACAACTGCTACATCAGAAAGCTTACCTCTCACACGAGGAGTAGTCTTTCAAGTCGTTGTAGTTATCACAGCTGGTGCTAAGGCTATATTCTGAAATGTGCTGACGCTGCACCATTTTGACTCTGAGGCAAACTTCGGTTAAATTCGAATATATTTTAAGTGACTCCAACAAACACATAGTTTGTTATTGTGGGTCTTTTTATGCGACTTCCAATACGACAGGTGGCAGTAATGGCCTTGCTAGGCCTTCAGGAAACGACATTAGCCTAAATACATCCATGTATTAGCAAGAGAAGAATAACAATTAGCTTAATTTTTTCTCTCACCGAGGGAAATGTTGACGTTTATGAGTTAGAGTTTTCTATGAGGAGGTCTTCCACTCTTTAAAAGAACTAAACAACATTTTGTGAACATTTAATGTCCCGCCGCTGAATCAAACTCTTTAGTTCAGTGGTCATGTTGCTTTCAGGGGCTCGTAAATACCAAACGTCATGCCACACTTCCTATTTGGAGTAAGGCAGCCAAGAGGTAGCATATACATGGGAAAACCTCAGTCGTGCAATTGGTGTTATAATTAATCGACTCTCAGAATATACTGCTATAGCCTACTTGACAATTTAGAAAATGAAACAAACACCAAACATAACAATAATGGCAATAATACTTACAGTAAAAATATTTTCTTTGTTTGTTTTTTCTTTCTTTTTCTTTTTTAAATTGGCTATTGCAAAAAGTCTACACAGTAAGTTAAAAAATAAATATGCCGGGGGGGGGGGGGGAATATAGGTCTAGTGAAAGAAAAGGAAGAAAATGATGTCATAAAAATCTTTTGAAACTGTGATATAGCAGACAGCTTGTATATTTTGATTCATTAATATAAAACTTAGACAAAATAAGAAATACATTAAATAAATAAAACTTGATCCCAGAATTCCTGACATAAGCTAATTTAGGTTTTTCCCACTACCTTAAAAGCAACGCATGACGTTTCCCGGACATAAACGCATGCTTATCCAGCTGCCGCAAACCCCATGAAGGATGTCGTAAACTCGCTCTGTATCAGTGTTGTCAGAGAAGTAAACTGTCATTGCCATTGATATAACCATCTCGGTAGATTTCAGAGTGTGAAACATGTAGTATCTGTGCTGGCTGCATGTACAGTCGAGCCGATGCAGTTTAACATCATGGTGGACGTCGTGTAGCCTTTGAGGAGCAGGAAGATGAGCTGATCTCCAGCAAAAACAAGCTCGAAAATGTCAACATACAACGCCGAAGGTAAAGTGAAACAGCTATTTACAAGATCTCTAGATGTACCACATCTCTAACATCTCGGACGTAATATTGCAGATATCTTATTGTCAGATCACAAACGTATATCATACAACTTCCTATTGAAATCATGGGTTCTTGTTTTGTGTCTTCTGCCCTCTTAAGTCGCTGCAGGACACTCTGTTGTGGTGGAGGTGAGCCCAGATATCCATATCTGTGGCTTCTGCAAGCAGCAGTACAATAATTTTGAGGTCTTTCTCGCCCACAAGCAAAATGGATGTTCCCTTCCCACTTCTGACCCATCATCCACCACGGCAACAGCCACTCTCCCAGGTAAAATACTGTGGCTCTGGTTTTATCATTAATAATTTGCATGCAAACTTGATTCACAGTCCGCCTGTTTTATGCACTGGGTATCTGTTGTACCTTTGTCCTGCTCAGATTCCAGCACTGAGTTTGTTTTCGAGGAAACCTACCAGACCTGTGTTATGAGAGGTGTCAAAAAGATCCTGACCAAAGCACAGAAAACACCTTCGAAAAAATTAAAACCTACCCTGACTTCAAAGAGACACAGCTGCTGTTTCTCAGGTCGGTGCCTCTTGCCGTTTATGACTGTAACACTTTCCTTCTTTTCCGCTGCCATGCAGGGTGAACTGTACTTCCTGCCAGTCGAAGTTAGATTAACTTTCCACAAGTACACAGGCTTCACACACCTTGTAAAAGCACATTGTGTCTTGATCCCACAGGTTGCACTTTTAAAACACAGTATGGCCAAAAAGACATGGAGCGCCATCTCAAAACCCACACCGGTATGTCAGTGCCATGCACACGTGATGCTCTGCTGCTAGAGCCCTTCAGGATTAGATATTGACACGAGTTGTTTTTAACCATCCATCATCCAGGTGAGAAGCCGTTTGAATGTGAGCTGTGTCACAAGCGCTTCAGTCGGCGGGACAAGCTCAACATGCACAGCCGCTTACACACAGGCGAGAAGCCGCACAAGTGTAAACACTGTCCCTATGCAGCAGCGGACAGCAGCAGTTTGAAGAAGCACCTGCGTATCCACTATGATGAACGGCCCTTTAAATGCCAGATCTGTCCTTACGCCAGCCGCAACTCCAGCCAGCTCACCGTGCACCTCCGCTCCCACACCGGTAGGGAGTCAAAGTTGTTTTCTAGATTGCATTGAAAATACTTTAGTGTTATTTCACAATAGATTTTCTTTTTGTTTTTACAAGGAGATGCACCTTTCCAGTGCCAACAGTGTGATGCAAAGTTCAAAATCAACTCAGACCTGAAGAGGCACATCCGGATTCACTCTGGTGAGAAGCCTTACAAATGTGACTTTTGTGAGTACCGCTGTGCCATGAAAGGCAACCTGAAATCTCACATTCAGATCAAACACGGCACTGAGAACTCCTTCCACTGCGTGCACTGTGATTTCAAGTGTTCCAACAAAACTGCTCTGCGGCAGCACTCGCGGGAACACCAGCCCACTCAGCCCATCCAGTGTTCCAAGTGCACTTACTCCTGCTCCAGCAAGGGGGCGCTCAAAGTCCACGAGAGGATCCACTCAGAGGAGCGACCCTTTAAATGTGACTTCTGCAACTTTGCCTCCAAGCAGCGCAGCAACCTTGTCATTCACAAAAAGAAGTGCCACTCAGATAAGCCAGAGAAAGGCAGCAGCGGGAAGGGAGGCAGAGGTGGAGGTAAAAGTGGAGGAGGTGACTCTCCAAAGCCGGTCAGCTCCCGGTATCGGGCCAAACTAGATGCAGCTCGAGCTTTCTGCTGCGACTCATGCAATGCTTCTTTTGTCAGGGAGGACTCCCTGCGCAGTCACAAAAAGCAACACAGAGACACTCAGAATGTGTTGCAGCTCCAGCTCTCTGCCCCATCTGATGCAGTCAATTTGGTTCCTGTTACAACCTCACAGAGCAACACCCAGCTCGAAGTTCCTCTCCCGTCTGACTCAATGGCTCCTTACAGCAATGCACAGCTCAAAATCATCGTATCTCACTCTCTGGGCCAGGAGAACCCCTTAATCCCAGCTGGTGTGGATAGTCAGAGTAAGACCAACATGGTCCTGCTAAGCCCAGAAAACCAGGACATGGTAGTAAACTCCATGATCCAACAGGTCAACCTGCTAGCACCTATGCAACCCCTCGGGACATCTCAGACTCCAGAGGCCACCCTTGATTCCCAGACGGTTCTCTTGACACAGCTCAGCCCTGAAGACACCAACAACCCGCTCCACCAGGCCCTACTGCAGACAGCCATAACCGCTCAGGACTCCAGCAGCGGCACGCAGACTTTCATCACCACCTGCTCCGAACTGGAGGGCCTCAACGCCTTGATCCAGGAAGGTGGCACAGAGGTTACAGTGGTGACAGAAGGGAACACCACCATGGTGACCACACCAACGCCACCCGACATGGTGTGCGGTCCATCGGAGGACATGTCCAAACCAGGTGGGACAGTTACGGTTGAGGAGAGTGCCTTACCCTGTGAGGAAAGTGCATTACTGGTGCCAAACATCGGCCTGGGCAGCCAGAATGTGGTCATCCACGGCGTTCCATTGATTGTGTCCACTCAACCACAGCAGAGTGCAATAGAGCAGCTCTCTCCTCACACACTCTACTCAGATTCACACACACTGGAAGGAATCCCACAATGAGTTGAGGGTTCGGTGTGTTTTTCTAAAAATGAAAAGACTATATCTGCATCATAAGCTATTTCTTTGCCGGTAAAAACTCTCAAACCTGGTTTATATTTCTGCGTAGGATCGACAGAGCCTACGGCTTGGCCTACACTGTTGTGAGCATTTATACTTGTCGCTCTGCAATTATACCACCAAAACACTAGTTGGTGGTGGGGTTTTATGTACTTCAAGCAATGAAATGAAAATGAAATGAAACTGTTTGGGTTTGAGCCAATGAATGTCGAGCAACTTTTACTGAAATTACCGCAACGCAGTAAAGAGAGATGACGTGGGAGGAGATGGTGTGTACGACCAGTGAACCGATAGAGGCAGAAGGAGGTGAGTTTTCTGTCCTTGTCCAACCACTGAGAGACATGGACGAGACTGAATTAGTGCTACCAAGTGAACCAATCACAGTTGTTGCGGTCTGCGTCACCGCAACATGAGATGCATGTCTGGCTGCGGCGTAGGGTACGCGGCTATGCTGTATCTACGGTGTCAATTAAACTCTGAAGTATAAACCAGGCTTTAGTATGTGCAGGCCATTAACATATAACATTTTTTGTCGCTAGCAGTTTTAATCATTAACCACTGAAGTGACAATACTGTTACCTTTGGAGATGTAGATGTTCTAATTTTCAGATATTAGAATAATGAATTGTTGTCGTAGCACATTAGTTCAGTCCAGAATGTCTTCATGTTTAACACTGAATAACTTTTGAATATGAAAGTTAATCATTAGGACGCAATTTCATACACTCTATTTTCAAGTGTAATTTTTGGAGGCATCTGAACTAAAATAATGTTTATTTTCAGCAAAACATCTTAGAAGAAATTCTAAAGTGTAAAAGAATAAAATCTGAAACAAATTGACACAAGCTGACATTGAATTTCTTTGTGCCATGTTTTTCTCCTGTTTGTCCAGAAGGTGGCAGCAGAGCGATGAGAGTAAAGGGTGAAGTTTACTCTGAAACTATATTCTTGCAGTCTTGTAGTATTGATTCTACAGATCTGTATGTGTAGCTTTTTCTGGAAATGAATATTTTCAAGTCCTCATTCTGAATCTACAAAGTAGATGTCAATTGTAGAAAACATTAGCCCGCATATCAAGGTCTTATTTTCTAAAAGCCAAGTTGCTCTCCCAATAGATTTTTCAATAAAGTGCCTGTTTTGCTTGCAGCTATCTATTATTCTGGCCAGTTTTACACTCAGACTTCAGCACTTAGTATTTGCAGAGAGTGAAGGCTGAACCTGAATAGGAGTCTCCTGAGAACAGTTGACCATTGATTTCTCTGTCGTCCCTCAGCGCTAATGGCTCTCCTGATGCAGACTGCTACGTTTTGTGGCTCAGCATGGCCACAAACTCAGATGAAGTTGTTTGATGAATGACTCTTTGCCTGCACTAAAGTTTCCCCTCAGAGTTGGTTTGTGTTTCAAAAGGTAAACTGTCTTCTGCTAGAAAAGGAAATGGTACTGGCAACAAAAAGCAAAGAAATATAATGACAATACCCCTTTTGTCATACACTTAAAATGCTGTGATGTATTGGATAATCCATCTTTTACCTCATAAAAATTTTAATTAATGATGCCTTTTATTCTGTGAAATCCATTAATTGCCTGTGAATGGCAAGTGTTATACTAGTATAAGATTTAGAGATACCTGTACTTTACTTTAGTGCTTCCATTTTATGCTAATTTACTACATTTGTGTGAGAAATAATGTACTTTTATTCCACTCCAGCTTTGACAGCTAAATAGTAGCAGCTAGCAGGTTAAAAGAATGGTATGACAATTTGAGAAATGCACATATTTGCTTTATTGTCAAGAGTTAGATGAAAAAATCAATGCCCCTGTTAAATATGAAGCTACAGCTAGTGGTCAGTTAGCTTAGGTCAGCATAAAGATGCATAAACAGAGGGAAACAGCTTGGTTCTGTCCAAAGGTACAGTGAGCATCTGACTTTCTAGCAGAGAAAGAGTCAATATTAACCTCTGTAAAATAGAAACTTGAAGTTTTTAAGCTTCAGTTTTAAACAAATGAAATATAGCATTTTAAGAATGAGCATTAGAGGTGCTAGTAGGCAAAGTTTGTTATTTCTGGAGAAACCATGCTAGCTGTTTCAGCATGTTTCCAGGCTCTAAGCTAAGCTAGCTATCTGCCGGCTATAGCCTCATATTTAGGTCATATTTTGGTATCATACTCTCATCTAACTCTCAGCAAGAAAGAGAATAAATGTGTTCCCCAAAATGAAAGTTTAAATAACGTGATGAACAGTAACAGATTAAAATATACAAAGTATACAAAGTTATTAAATTTAGCTCCTTTTCACCAAACTACAACATCAAACGTTACTTAATGCATCAATACTTAAATTCTTAAATAATATAATAGTCACTCCAGGGGCTGTTCTGCTGTGGAACAAGTACTTTTACCCTTGATACTTGTAGCACCCTGCATTTTACTCATTATGTGCTTTAATTACTTCAGTAACCTTTTTAATGTTGGGCTTTTGCTTGTAATGAATTATTTTCATATTATTGTATTGGCACTTTTACTTAAGTAACTGATCTGAACGTCTTCCACCACTGAACTTAATAATGAATGTCTTCTACAATTCAGCAATCAAAGTCCCCAATTCAGGATAAATGGGAATATCTCCTCTCAAGTCTGACAAAAATTAGAAAATCTAACTGAGTAGCGAGTCAGTAGAGATTTTGTTTGTTCTCCTGCTCACAATTAATAACTAACAAATATTTCACAGCTTCTGGAACATAAAAAAAAAAGTTTTTTAGTGAAAAATGCCTCCATTCATAATGAGCACCTTGTTCTGCCTCTTCTGTGGGTTATGCTCTTGCGCTCACATTTATATTATAATCACACCATTGATCTGTGATGTCACTGGTGACCCTTTTGAACATTTTGTGTGATTTCGGAGACGAAGTCTGTCGCCTGATCTTCAGGTGGAATTGCTAAAAAGCTCCTGAAATTCCATAATGTATGAAGATGAGCATTATGTGGGAAAAGCAAGAAGTGCTCTCTGGTGTATCTCTTTGATCTATTATCTAACAAACTTCCAGGCCCTAATCCTGAGCACTCTTGAGGAAGAGAGCCCATTCCCCCCCCCTCCTTCTCTTGTTCCATATGTGACATCATGGCTGGGTTAAGTGCTTTTTCTATGGGCTACAACATCTTTAGAGATTCACTTGAGGGGAGAGTTTGAACCATTAGAATCATGCAAAACTAAATTTTTTGGCTCAGTTTTAGGGTGAATGATAAACAAATGATGGCATAGGTCACACCTTATTTTAAGCAGTTTAGTTTCTGATTAAAAATAGAAACAATTCTATTATAAAATCTAAAGTTTTGCTCCTGTTTCAATTTTTTTCAGACAGGTAGCAAGAGTTTTAAGGGGATCCCTTTATACTGTATGGCACTTCTCAGTTCCTTCCTTCCTGTGTTTGAGATGAGCCTTTGAATAGGGTCATAAACGTCTCCCCAAAAAAGCAATTTCCACTCACAGCTGCTTAAAGAAATCGTAAGTTGTGATGCATTCCTTCTGGACATAAACAGATCCAGAGACTGCCAGGTGATAAGAGGGACAACAAGCAGAACTGGATCACACATGAGCATGAGTAAAAGAGAGCTGGTACTTTAAAATAGTGTGAACATGTCAAAGGGCTGTAAGTGAATTTAGTATTCTGGTTAATTTCTGTCATCAGAGGTGGTTATAAATCCCTCAGACAGCCACTGAGTGTAAACAGTTTTTTTTTTTTTACACTGCGCTCCTCCAGATACAATCCGTCACTCGGCTCAACAATACGTTTCTGACCTTTGCTTTGTTTGCACACAATTTGCAATCCCAAGAGTAAATGGCATTGAATGCCTTAATGAAATTAACTGATTGGTAAAGTATTGATATGGATTTGTTTTCCAATGCAAGCATCTTTTTTTTCCGCTGTGACACTATTGACATCTTAAGTGAGTTTTGATTTCTCAGTACACTGGAGGCTTTTATCTTGTCTTTGTTCGCTTCTTTTTGTCTGTGGTGATAGAAATACAAGACGATAGAGCAAGATGATTTGATCAGCCCCTTTTACAGCCGAGCAACAAAAAGACACCTTCATTTGCTTTTTCTGAATGCAATGTGATTATTTGTTAAGACATTATTAGGCTATTGTGTCTAAGAGTGGAATCAATCGCATCACCTTAGGGCAAATTCTGGTTGTGCCTCTGTGGGTGGTTGTATGTTTCATATTAGCCCTGCATGTTTTTTTTTGTTTTGATTTACAGTTTAAAGCTCAAATCATCAATTTTCACATTTTCTGAAAGCATTGTCACTTTTTTGATTATTTATTATTTATTCGTTTAGCATTTGAGCGTTCATTGTGTTGTTTTTGTAATTTTTTGTCTGTCTTGGGTTGTCAGGAAGCATTACCCTGACAAGCTCTTGTTGTTTCTTTAAGATTTAAGCAGCAGTGTAAAAGCCGTCCTCAGGGGGCAGAAAAATCAGTGTAATTTTGAGGCAGTATTCATGGCTGGAGTGAGAGCATGAAAGCCCATAAATGTCCTTTAATGGACAAAGGAATGCTACAGTATCTCCTGCTCTGCAACACAGAGCCAGTTGGCTTTTATAACAATGTCCTTTATAAAGATGTGGGTTTCACCGTTTAGCAATGAGCGCTGAGTGTGATCTCGTGAATGCAAATAACCAGCTATCAGCTTTTGTGATTCACTAACAAAGACATTTAGCCATTGTTTTCCTGTCCCTGTTTCTGTGCCACTAACCCTAAACAAATGAGCGTTTGCATGGTTTTGACCGTGCGCATGGTGCCATGCATTGAAGGGGGAACAATCACTCAATTGTTTTCTTTTATTCCATATTTTTTGTGGGATGCAAGTTGGTTACTGGGAACAACTGGCTAACAAGTGTCTTGGGCCATCAGGTTTAAGCTCCACGCGGATACAGGATTTGTTTTTTATGCTCGGTTTTGTGACAACCTCTGATCATTCTCACATGTCAGCATGTTGCTTTGTGTTTTCTCTGTCCGCATTCTCACAGTTTGTAGAGCAGGACAGTCAGTTTTTTGTGTGGTTGGGCATTTGTTTGCATTGCCGGCCTGTTATTATGGAGGGATTAGATTGTTCTTAAGCATTCAATAATCTAAGTTACACTTACAAAGAACTGGAGAATTTGATTAAAACAATAGAGATAAATGTCTCTTAATGTCTATGCACATTTAGAATGATGTCATACTTGTTGCTTTATTTAATTGTAAGGCAAAAAAAGGTGTAACCGATGGGTGGGATTCAACATTTAAACATTAAACTTTTAAACGAATGCATGTGTGTTATCTCAATGTTGGAATATGGTGCCAGTTAAACTTGTGGCATAATCAAACAAACCTATTTCCAATTTTAGAAATGTCACTGGTTTCAGCAGATGGCTAGGAGCCAGCAACATATTTTCTTTGTTCACACATGCCTTATCCTAAGAAAACAAACATGATGGGAATCTGATCTTTACACATACAAGCCATTGTTGTGTGTGTGTGTGTGTGTGTGTGTGTGTGTGTGTGAGTGAGTGTGTGCGTGCAGATGCATGTGTATGTGCTTAGGTCTGTGTTTACTGAGTGTGTGCGTGCAGATGCATGTGTATGTGCTTAGGTCTGTGTTTACCTTTCCTGCCTTTCAGAGCTTTTAATGCACACTGATACTGCTGCTGCTGCTGCCAAATTCATTCTTATGCAGTGTGGAAAAAAATATTCTAGACTGGATATGAAGCAATTAGAAAAGCAGTGTAAGTAATGTGGA